GAGGCCATTCCTGCCCGCGGGAGGCTTCTCTTGTGAGTTCCTGGCCGTGTTCTCGGCGGGTTCTGGTCTGGCGTGTCGCGTCCTCAGACGGGAGAGGCCCGGCCTTCTGCAGCTCCGGCCTGGGGGCTCCTGTGCCGGCAGAGGAACTCGGAACACGACGTCGTTGTTTAGAAATTCTCTTGGCGTCCATTAAGTATAATTCTGCATAATGAATGTGTGTGGTTTCACGAGTTTAACCTGAAACCCACTTGATTATGATGTACCTGTTACGACGATTTTTTTTTATTTATTTATCCTGGTGCAAAATGTAACCACAGACTTAAGAAAGCCTTCTGTACAAGAAGTTGTAATTGAATGTTCAGAGAGCCTTAAGAACAGTACAGTCGTACTCTTGAAGATACCGGAATCAAGTCTCAGTGTTACATTCTCCAAGGCGGGAAGTGTGTGATGTACGTCAGGGGACTTCACCCTTCTTTTAAGCCTAGCTAATTTTTAAAAATGTATTTTTATTAGTTTTTTTACAGAGAGGAAGGGAGAGGGACAGAGAGCCAGAAACATTGATGAGAAAGAAACATCGATCAGCTGCCTCCTGCACACCCCCTACTGGGGATGTGCCCGCAATCAAGATACATGACCTTGACCAGAATCGAACCTGGGACCCTTCAGTCCGCAGGCCCGTGCTCTATCCACGGAGCCAAACCGCCTTTGGCAACCTGGCTAATTTTTATTCTTCAAAATCCACCGGAGCTGAGTGTGTCTTCTCTGACATCCTGGCATCCTTTGCTTACTCTCTTCTGGCACTTATCCTGTATGGTAATTAACTTTACCTTGTGGTCTCCAGACAGTTGTGAAGAGAATATAAAGCTTACCACGGTTTTGGTAAGAGATTTGCGCTTTTTAACCTCAGTGCACCCTTGATTCTGTGGCATCTTCACTCAGCCCTTACTGTTGCTGTGTCTGTTCTTCCGAGTGACTATTTCAGATCTTTTCTGTTCTCATATCTCAGGATCATTTCTTTCCCTTTACTTGGAGCAGAGGACCAGCCTCCTATTTCTCTGAAAAATGTGAAGTTGGGGGTATGAAATTTGTCATTTCCTTTTCCCTACCTCTGAACTTGCCTAAATTTTTCTTTTTCTTTTTAATTTAATTTAATTTTTTTGAGGGGGGGGGGCATTGCCTAAACTTTTCATTCCATATTAGTTCTTGTCTGAGAGGAATGTATTCTTGTGCCTCTCTTCAAGGCTAAACTTGTCAATTGATGGGGGTTGTCAGGCTGTTTATACGCCTAAAACCTCATTGTGTCCCGGCCTCCCTAGCTTCTGGTCTCTTGGGATCTTAAAGGATTTATGGAGGAGAATGGCAGAAGCACCTGAGCCAGCAGGGTGTGTGGCTTTTTTATTCATGTTTGAGAACCACCATCTGAGGCCTAGACCTAAAAAAAATATTCTTAAAAATTGTTTTTTAGAGGAAGTAATGGAGAGGGATAGAGAGAAACATTGATGAGAGAGAAGCATCATCGATCGGCTGTCCCCTGCATGCCCCTTACTGGAGATCAAGCCCACAATCTAGGTATGTGCCCTGACTGGGAATTGAACTGGTGACCTCTTGGTTCATGGGTGATGCTCAACCACTGAGCAACACCAGCTGGGCTGAAGTATTGATTTTTTAAAAAATACGTATAAGTCTGTCCCTTTATCCTTTCCTGCACCCTACATCTTGCTCCCAATAATCTACAGACCTGACCAATGAATTATGTAATTTGCCTTTAGTAACCGCAGCAGATACCTGTCAGTATTAATAAGGTTCCCACTCATTATAGGGTGCCTCACAAAGTTGCATTTGGAAACGGGAAACCAGAAAACTAAGTCATCCTCATTCTAGTCACCTTTAGAAATAGTCATAAACACAAGACTCCTTCCTTCCTTCCTTCCTTCCTTCCTTCCTTCCTTCCTTCCTTCCTTCCTTCCTTCCTTCCTTCCTTCCTTCCTTCCTTCCTAAATATATTTTTATTGATTTCAGAGAGGAAGGGAGAGGGAGAGAGAGATAGAAATATTGATGATGATGAGAGAATAATTGATCGGCTGCCTCCTGCACACCCCCTACTGGGGATTGAGCCCACAGCCCAGGCATGTGGCCTTAACCGGAATTGAACCCAGGTTCTTTAGTCTGAGGGCTGACATTCTACCCACTGAGCCAAATCAGCCGGGGCAAGACTTCCTCCTTATCTTGAATTATCCTAGTGTCTTGTGAGACTTGCCTAATGATCTACTCTCTCTTGTCCTCACTCTGCGCCTTTGGACTTCTGTTCTGTCGTAACCACACTTCCATTTTCAGCCATTGAGGGCCTAAGTTCTTGTCATCTTCAAACATAGGAATCCCATAATCTCCTCTTGTAACAGGTCTGGGGAGAGAGTTTGGCATTGTCCTAATTTCCTAGTATAGTTTATAATCCATTGTTTCTCTAGGCTTTTCTAAAAATCCCTGTTCCTTTGGAAATCATTTGTTTCACCCTTATCAACCTGTACATTTCTTTTAAAAAAAAAAATCTGCTGAACTCATTTAGTATTTATTGAACTGTGAACCGCTGCAAACACAGCTGAAACCTAATCCTATACATTTCTTTTTTGCTATAATTTATTGGCACTGACTCATATTCCTTAAGAACTTAGGCACATAACACAGGATTTTCTTACTCCTTCAATTTCTGCCAATATCTTGGGCCTTTCCATATAAAGGGCCTCACTTTTTCTTTCCCTTTCCTTCTAGTGACTACTTATACTTTACCTCAGCTGGGTGCCTCAGATGTGAAGACCTTGGTATCTGCTAGAACTTACTATTTCCTTCCTTCCTTCCTTCCTTCCTTCCTTCCTTCCTTCCTTCCTTCCTTCCTTCCTTCCTTCCTTCCTTCCTTCCTTCCTTTTCTTTTTTTTTAATATATTTTATTGATTTTGTAGGAAGAGGAAGGAAGAGAGAAAGAGAGTTAGAAACATCGATGAGAGAGAGTCATTGATCAGCTGCCTCTTGCACACCCCCTACTGGGGATATGCCCACAACCAAGGTACATGCTCTTGACCGGAATCGACCCCAGGACCCTTCAGTCTCCAAGCCGATGCTCTATCCATTGAGCCAAACCGGTTTCGGCACTATTTCATTTCTTATTCCCACAATGCCTATGCTTGGATAGTTTTATGAAGACTTTTGGTTCATTGCTTTTCCTATCCCTCAAGTTGATCATAATCTCTTTGGGGCCATAGATTCCTTTAAGAATGCATGCGTGCACACACACACACACACAGGCACATAAAAAAATATATAAAGATTTTAGAGGCTTCTCTATTTTTTAAGCACATCCATGTGATTAATAAAGTGTTCTTGGATCCCTCAGTAAATCCCTTCTCTAAATAAATATTTGTTGAATTCTTCTGGGGTTTCCTTTAACTTCATTTCATCAATTATTCTTTTACTAGAGGCCTGTTGCATAAATTGATTTGTGCAATAGGCCTTCCTTCCCTTGACTTCCAGCACCAGTTTTTCTCCAGCACCTGGGACCCAGACCTTCGCTATGGCTGGAGTCTGCCATCTTTGCTGCAGACTCCGGCTGGAGTCTGCCGACTTCATCTTTGTCTTCACTGTGGCTGGAGTGCTGTGCCTGTAGATCCCTTTGCCTCTTCCTTCCCCCACAGTAGCCGGCATCCTGTCCCATCGGGCCACTCTCTGCCTGGAGCAGCTGGACAGCTGCCATTTTTGGCCTACTATTTTGCATATCCCCCCTGATTGGCTGGTGGGTGTAGCAGAGTGATGGTCAATTTGCCTTAGTGTAGATTCTTTCTTACCCCTTACATTTATATATCATTGCTGATTTACAAAACAACATTTGTTATCTTTCTGATTCACTCACTGTAAATTTGCCAAGTGAATTTTTCAAAAACTTTTTATTATGGAAAATTTCAAATGTTCATGAAAAGAGAGAAAAATATAAAGGATCTTATGTTCTCATCCCCTAACTTCATCAACTGTCAATTTAGCAATTTTTTCATCTGTATTTCTCCTCTACTGCACCCCTACCCTCACTGGTGACATTGAAACAGTTCCTAGGTATCTTATAATTTCATGTGAAATAGTTTATTATGTATTCCTAAAAGATAGGTTTTTTTTTTAAATAAATGTAATCATAATATTATTTATCATACCTAAAAAATAATTATTTATTAATATCATCAAATATCAAATCGGTGTTCTGAGTTTTCCTTTTTCCTCCCCATTGCCTTATGTGAACCCAGAGCTAACAAGATCCACAAATTCAATTTGGTTAGTATGTCTTTTCATCTCTTAATCTAGAAGTTACCTCCCACCTTTCCTCCTTTTACAAAACCCTGGCAGTTTATTTCTTGAAGAAACTAGCTTTATTTATTTATTTATTTATTTATTTATTTATTTATTTATTTATTTTGCTGTCGGCATCTCATGTTATTTTTGCATGTTCATCCAGATCCCATATTTCTTAAAACTAAAGGCTTGATGTGATTTAGGATTAATTTTAGTCAAGAATATATCATGGCTGGTGTGTCCCTTCCATCAGGAGATGCATAACGTCCACTTGTCTTTCTTGATGTTACTTGATGATTATTTCCTAGGACCACTGTTTAATTGGTAGTTAAGAAATGGTGACGGTTGCCAAGCCCGTGTGGCTCAGTGGTTGAGCATCAACCCATGAACCAGGAGGTCACAGTTCTGTTCCCAGTCAGGGTACGGTTCGGGTTGTGTGCTCAGTCCCCAGCAGGACATGCAGAAGGCAGCCAGTCAGTTGATATTTCTATCTCTTGCTCCCTTTCCCTTCCTCTCTGAAATAAATAAATAAATAAATAAATAAATAAATAAATAATGATAGTCTGATTTTGTTATTCCTTTATTCCTTCTTCACTTTGTTGGATTATTTCTATAAAGGGCCAAGTTTGAAATTTAAAGCTTTTTTTTTTTTTTTTTTTTTGTGGTTTTCCAGAATGGCTTCCTTCGGATGGAAGAGAAAAATTGGTGAGAAAGTCTCAAAGGTCACTTCCCAGCAGTTTGAGGCTGAAGCCGCCGATGAAAAGGATGCAGCTGAGAGTGAAGAAGGGAACGGGCTTCACGCCACCAAACGCAGGAAAGAAAGTCTCCTGGAAGGCTGTGCCAGGAGAAGCAAGCAGCTGAAGGATGAGGGAGCCAGCCTGGCCGAAAATAAAAGGTATGTTTTTGGGGCTTTCCTTTACAGAACATGTACGTTTTCTGACTTGCTGTCAGCAGTGGGATGAAGAGTTATGAATTCTATGTTTAATATTTTAAAATCTGATCTAGGCGCTAAATTAAAGAAATAGGTTTTAAAGTCACCTTGAAACATTCCCATGGTATCTGAAAGTTTGTAAAAAGTCTTTAAGATTCTTAGAACGTCTCTGCTCTGCCAGCCTTTCTGTTCTGTCTACAGTAGGGGAAAGGCACCTGTCATTGGGGCTCAGTGCATGAGCGCTGACTTGTGAACCAGTAGGTCATGGTTCCATCCCAGGCACATTCCTGGGCAGGGGGTGTGCAGGAGGCAGCTGATTGATGATTCTATCTCTCTCTCCTTCTCTTTTCTCAGAAATCAATAAAGATGTATTTAAATATATAGATTTAAAAAAATAGAGTAAACGTTCAGTAAAATGTAATCCAACTTACTGGTTGGTAGCAGATGGTGTAATGTTCTCTTTTTGAGAACATTAGTGCATGGTTAGTGCATGTCATAGTGACTGGTTGTTCTGCCTTCAGGCCTAAACCGGCTCTCCTACATCCCCTAGATTGTGAGATGGCACAGGCCAGGTCAAAGGACTCCACTGGTACACGATTTGGGGCCGGGGAGGGATACAAAAGGTTTGCCAGCCGGGGAAGGACTGTGGGAGGGCTCCAGGGCATGTCCGGCCTGTCTCGCTAGTCCAGATTGCCTGGACCCTAGCAGCAAGGTAACCTACTGGTTAGAGTGTCTGCCCCTGATGGTCAGAGCATGTCATACCAACTAGTCGACCGATCAAATGTCTACCCCCCATGTGGTCAGTGCACATCATAGCAAGCGGTTGAGTGGCCTTAGCATATCATTAGCATATTACACTTTGATTGGTTGAACCGGTGACTAGATGACTGGACACAGCCTATTTGGCTTTTATTATATAGGATTATTGGCTATATTTTCTATGTTGTACTTTACATTAGATTAGAAAATCCTTAATAATTGGTTTATCTTCCTACACATATGTACACACTTAACTGTTTATTAGAATTTTTTTGCTGATTTATTTGAAAGTAAGTTGTAGGCATTATGACCCCTGGTTCCTATTTCAGCATGCTTCTCCTAAGAGTAAGGATGGTCTTTTACCAAGCTTAAGAGCTGTCAGACCTATGAAATAGAACTGTAATCTGATATCTAGTCCACATTTAGGTTTCTCCAACTTTCACCTACATTTTAAATTATTTTTTAAAAATATTAGGATCTAAACAAAGTCCACAGTTTGCATTTGGTATTGTATCTCTTTAGTGTTTTCTTGGGTCCCCTATTTTTATTCCCATATGACATTGACATTTTGAAGAGTCCAGACGAGTTTTCTATTTGATTGTTTCCTTACCTTGTTCCTCTGTTCAATGTGTTTCTTGTAAACTGAAAGATGTGTTGAGGTTTGATTTAGATTCTGATTAAACATTTTGGGTAAGAAAACTTCATATAATGTTTATGCTTTCCACTGCCTCATCTTGGGATATAGATGACATCAGGTTATCACTAGTGCAGCCACTGGAAGACATTGTGCCTATGTCAGTCATATGCTGGGTGTAATATTTGCTGAAAGCAGTATTTTTATAAAAATCTTGAAACATTTGGCGAAGGAAATAATACTAGCAAAAGTACACTTGGCATCATGAGGACTGTTGATTTATTTGCCCTAAAGATATGATTTTTTGAAGACATATGTGTGATGAGCAGGAATAGTCTCAGAGTAGGTTATTGGTAGGACAGAATACTCTAGATCATCCAGAGATCTAAAACTAGGCCTCAAAAAATAAATAAATAAATAAACTAAAACTAGACCTTGTGCTTGTGACTGGCATCTGCTGTGGAATGAAGAGTCTGAGAAGTTAGAAGCAGTAGTGCTGAACAAGTACTATGTCTTTTCTTTGTTTTTCTGTTCTTTTTTGTTTTTTTCCTAATTGGTAAGGGTGGTTAGAAGATTTGTTAATCATTTTTGTCATAAATGAGTCAAAGTTCAAAAAGCAAACAGTTTAATTTCTAGGTTTGTTATTATTTTTCATTATATATATATATATATATATATATATATATATGTATGTATATATATATTATTTCAGAGAAGAAGGAAGAGGGAGAGAGATAGAAACATCAGTGATGAGAGAGAACCATTGATTGGCTGCCTCATGCACGCCCCCTACTGGAAATGAAGCCCTAAACCCTGGGCACGTGCCCTTGCCTGAACCGGGGGCCCTTCAGTCTGCAGGCTGAGGCTCTATCCACTGAGCCAAACTGGCTAGGGCTGGGTGTAATCTTTTATTAATATACTAGAGGCCTGATACACGAAATTCCTATTTTAGGCACAAAGGTTTTTTGTCTTTTATAACTTGGTGAGATTGATCATTCTGTTCTTAGTCAGAAGAAAACTAATTGTAAATTTCCCTTATTTATGGAATCACTTTCAGAACATCCATAAAACATCTTTAGAAATTCCTGTAAATTCCTGTTAAAAGTTCATTAACTTCGTTGTTTTTGTCTTTTTCTCTGGACCACATTAGTGTGTGGAAGGGAAAAACTATTCAGTTATTGCCATGGGATTCCCTCTGAATTTCCTGTGTAGAGGAGAGAGATCAACTTTGTCGATAAACAAAATAACTCTTGTATTTTTGCTTGCATGTCAAAACATTGAGTCATTTCATTAAAATCAGCTGGATTGGATGCTCTATGTGATTGAGGGACGCTAAGATCAGTGTTTCTTTTGCTCATAAAGCTCTGTGTTTTAGAATAGTGTACACAGAGCTTTAGGAAATAACTAAACAGAATTAGAGGCATCTAGGGGAATCAAGTAGTTTGGTGACTCTATGCCAAAAAATATGTAGAAATAGTAGTTGACCATATCTAAGAGAATATTAAACTTGGTTGAAAATAAAATAAGCAGAAATAATGAAGTTAAATTTAAATAAAGCTCAGCCCCTGCTAGTACTTGCATATGGACTTTGAAGTTATTTTACCTCTGTTCGAATCCTAGCTTTATCATTCTGTCTGCACAAACTTGGCTGGTTAGCTTTTTAAGTTCCGGTCTCCAGTTTCCTCAGCTGTACAATGGAGAGATTTATCTCATAGCCCCTGGGGGATGAAAGAGCAAGTGCATATAAAAGCTGAGCATGCCACCTGGCACCTGTACTTCAGATGCTCTGTCTTAGGATGTTCTCTATGATCGGTACACTCATGTAGTGTTAATGTGTTTGTAAGATGTTTGTTCAGACTTTTTTTCTCTCCTAGAATTATTACTAACTAGGATATATACCTTCTCAGTAGTTACAGGGTGAGTCCTAATTTCAGTATTTTGGCTTTTATGGTTTCAGCCACTAGATGGTGGTATTTGATTGTGTAGCTATGTAGTCTATTTTTTTTCTTTGAGAATTAATGTGTTCGTGTGTGAAGCAGGAATTTAATTAGAATTTACCATGAATTTGTCTCTTGTCTAGAAGAGTATACCCATCAGAGTGAACTTGAAGGTGATTTGGCCATTTAACACACATGGTCTTGAGTGCCAGCATGACTATATTAACTGACAGTGATCTTCATTTTGATGTCATTTGTTCCTCTCTTTTGGCTCCTTCTCGCTGGTATACAAGTGAGATAGCATACATTTAAAAGCTGTGGCTGGTTTTCTCAGTGCTTAGAGCACAACCTCCCCATCCTGACACCTGCCCAGACTGAAGGGTCTTGGGTTCGATTCTGGTCAAGGGCACTGGTGCTGGTTAGGGCATGTGTGAGAGGCAACTTGTTGATGTGTCACTCTCACGTTGATGTTTCTATCTCCCTTATCCCTCCCTTCCACTCTCTCTAAAGATCAGTGGAAAGAAATATCCTCGGGTGAGGATTAAAAAAAAAAATAAAAAGCTTTCCTTGACACACATGCCCTAAATTTCTCTTCTTTCCTTCACCACAAACTCCATTGCTTGATGGATGATTCTCTCAGTCCATTCCAGCCAGGTTTCTGTCCCCACTCATCCCCCTCTTAGAAAGATTATCTCTCTGTCCTCATTTACTGTGCCCGCACGGTCCACACAGCTGACCCCTCCCTTCCTAAACACACTGCTCCCTAAACTACAGCACTGTCGTGCCTGTCCTTGTTTCAGTGTCCACTCCTTCATTTTCTTTTGCTCATTTTCTAACTGTTGGTGGGCCACAGTATTTAGAAGCTTTATTTATTATTTTTTTTTTTTACAGAGAGGAAGAGAGAGGGCTAGAGAGTTAGAAACATCGATCAGCTGCCTCCTGCACACCCCACACTGGGGATGTGCCCACAGCCAGTGTACAGGCTCCTGACCGGAATCAAACCCAGGACCCTTGAGTCCGCAGGCTGGCACTCTATCCACTGAGCCAAACCAGTTTCGGCAGGGCCACAGTATTTAGAAAGTGCTTCTTGTCCTTTCCAAATACAGTATTTGCCTTCCTAAACTTCCATGGCCTCTTGCTTTCAGCACCAGTCTTCCCACCTGAGTCCTGGACTTTCTAATACCCACTCGGATGTCTAGTTAGTGTCTCAAACATAACATGTACAGAGCAGAACTCTTGGTTTTTCTCCCAAACATCTGCTCCTTTCTAGTCTTCGCTACATCAGTGAAAGGCCCACCCTCTGCCTAGTAATTTAAGCCCAAACGCCAGGAGTCAACTCTGCTGGCTTCTGTGCTGACCAGAGCTCACCTTCCCCAGTGCCCCCAGCTCCCTGCCTTTGAGAGCTGAAGGCCCTGGCAGCTGCTGTCCTCACAAAGGCCCCATGTGTGGTGCTAACTGACAGTGAAAGACCTTGACGGTGGCCCGACTGGACCTGAGGTCCTCTGAGGGACTGGTGGCCCAGCAAGAGTAAGTGGGTTAAAGCTTGTGGGGAAGACCTCGGTGATGGGAGGCAGGCAAAGCTTTTTCCGCCTCCCGCCACTGGACTGCTTCCAAACACGTTTCGTACAGTCTCTCTGAAAGGTCTACAAGAAAAGCAGCCACGGCGGTTGGTTTTTGAAACTGTTGCCAGCTTAACATGCACCTTGTATTTGTTCTCCTGCCTCCTGCCTCACGTCTCTTTTTCTCCCTCACTCTGGCTTCCCTGGGGTCCTGCTCCCACAAAGAGTGAGTCACCTTAGGCCTCAGGCTCTTTCCCAGGCAACCCGAACTGAGATACCATCCTGGCTTCCTTCCCTTTTTCTTTTTTTTCACTTCTAAATCCAATCCATGTTGAGTTGACTTAACACAGCCTAAGACTATGAATCTTCTCCTCTGTTTTCACCTTGTCTAGTCTCAGATATCTCTTACCTAGATGATTCTGTGTAGCCTCCTAACTGTCTTTGGTGCTCATTCTCACACCCCCACGGCCCATTCTCCCTGGAGGCTCCCATCACACATACAGTGAAATCCGTCATTTTCTTTTGCCCATTTCATTTCGCCTGCCGGTCCCCGAGTGGTTGTGGCTGTGGCGGCCTTTCGCTCTCCTTCCTCCTGCTCCAGCCACGCTGTCTTCTTCCCTTCCCTCAGGCACAGGTGTGTAGCCCTGCCTTGGGCTCTTTGTCTGGAATGAACTTGCTGCAGGTCTTCAGTTGGCTGAGGACTTTTTAACGTACAGATCTTGGCTCAGATGTTTTCCTAGAGACCTTCCCCGAACCTGCATTCTGAGTGGCCACCCGGTCACTACCTGTCACCTCAGTCCAGTTGGTTTTCATCATGGCACTTACCATATTCTAACTTAGGTTTGTTGTCTTTTTCGGCCTTCTTTCCACATGCAGATGTTCTAGAGTGTAAGATCTAGAAGAGTAGGGTCCATTTACATCTTTTTAAAATTTTAAGAAAAATTTAATTTATTGGGGTGAAATTGGTTAATAAAATATAGGTTCGAAATGTACAATTCTGTAATACATCACCTGTATATTATATTGTTCAACACTCCGAAAGTTAAGTCTCCTTCCGTCACTATTTATCGCCCCTTTGCCCTCTTCCACCTGCTCCCAGGCCCATTTACATCTTGTTGAATGCTGCATCCTCAGCTCTGAGAATCCTACCTGGCCCAGAGTAGGTGCTCAATAAATATTTATTAAGTGAATAAGCTGATAAGTATAGAGCTCGCACTATAGTAAATGAGACATTTAATTAGGAACAGAGTAGCTAAATACTGATATTTCTATCTGCTGGATGGGTGTGTTATCTCACTGACCGGCTTGGTCACCAGCTGGGCCTTGCCTCAGTGGAGGTGTTATCTTCCCGCTCTTGCACAACCCCTGGGCTGTTCCTTTGCTTCCTTCCTTGTGCTGTTCGGTTGGATGCTATAAACTGGCTGAATCAGACTTTGGTCACTTATTAACCATAGTGACTCGAAGCCAAGTTTTTATCTTTTAATGCCTCCTACCCAACAGCTGCAGTAGGGCTGTGCCTGCTCAGTGTGTTCCAAACTGAAGTTGAATTAGTAGATACTCTGCGGAGCGTATCTGCATCATGCTCTATGAGAGCATAATAAGGGAGACCCTTGGTTTATTAGGTGCCAAGTTTCCCGTGACCCGAAAGTGGTGTTACCCTTTATCTGTAGGCCAGGAGAAGGAAAGCGCCCATTGGTGGTCTTGCCTGCATCCACTGGTATTATTTCATAAATGATAATTTTAAAAATTGTCATATTCCTGTTATATTTATCATGTTTTTCGCCTCTAGAGAACTTTCCCTCACTAATATTGGTTTAGAGTTTGTTATTTTTATTTCTAAAATTTAGGAGAAAAATTGTTCTTTCTCCCTTACAAAGGCTTTGAACGTAGTGGTCCCTGTAGTGGATCTGGCAGCCATCTCTGCACATTCGGATGTGCTGCATGGACCAACAGCCTTTGTGGGCGAGTCTTTAGCTTAGTCACACAGTCCTCTGCTGCGAGATAACAGCAGCCACTGCCACACCTACAGTGGCAGGCGAGGCAGGCTTAGTAACGCACGCTCCCTCCGGGGGCCCTCACCACTGCTGGCTGTGCAGGCTTGTTCTCAGCTCATTTGCCATGTGCCCAGGTGGCATCAGACCCTGGCAATGGTGTAGCCTATTTGTATTACTTCCTAGTAAAGGAACTGTTCTATAGCAAGGTGAATACAGAGAGAATGTAATTTTACTTATGTTCTTCGACTTTGTATTTTCTGCCAAATTCTGCCTCTTTTTTTTTTTTTTTTTTAGTTCTCTGCTCCCTGCTAACAAATCAGTACATTTGTAGTTATGTTTGATTTGAATCTTCTCATACTGAGTAGGGAATTATACACAAGAACACATACAGAGGACATAAAGAAACTGGAAAATAGGCAACAAGAACTTATTCAAGAGAAGATACAACATTAACATACTATGAGAGATATTAAAATCGGTTCATCCCACCTGGTTTTTATTAGCATTAGCTGGGGACTTTGAAAAAATACAGATGCTGAGTCCTGCTCTGAGATTTGTTTTAATTGATCTGAGGTATTGTGTGTGTGTGTGTATTTGTGTATGCATGTGTGCGTTTTTCCTCCATAATCTCCATAGATCATTCTGTAGGTAGCCAGGAATGAAAACTGGTGGGTTATATATTTCCTATTTAGCTCTAGAAACCAGAACCATTGGGCGAAAGGTACAAGACAGAAAGGTACAATGAAAAAGGTTCTGGTAATAAGGACTTCTCCTCCTAGAAATATTCAAGTATACATGAGTTAACTTCTGTGAAGGATGCTGTGAAGATGACTGCTTTGGAGAACATCTAGGACTTGGTCACTCCTTTAATTTATTTTTAGGAAGGAAGAGTGCTTATGCTTCTGCAGATTTGGCCTGGAGTGTGCGAAGATCAGTTTGGGGCACACTGAGTTTGAGACGTTTTTGGGACATCTAGATGGAGATAGTAGTTGACTAAATGGATTTGGAGCTCAACACAGAGACGTGATTAAGAGAACAGCAGTGAAAGGTGATAGTGGAAATGACCTCCATACCTGCTTCACTTATTCAGCCCCATCTTATCCACGAGCCTGTGTTCATGGTGATGGACAGGACAGTGTTCCCTAGACAAGGACACTGAACACTGAAGAGTCTGTACGCAGTTCCCGGCAGTTCTTGCCATCTGTCAGCAAATGGCTACAGCTTAGAGCCCAGGATTACCCCTGGATTATGAAGTCCTCAGAAAAGTTCTTTGTAAAACATCTAAAATAACTGCCAACATGTGCCAATATTGAGGTTGATGAGAAAAGAGAAACTCATGTGGTGACTTCTCAGCCCAGGACATAAAACTTGGAGAAAGCTTTTCAAGATCTCTTTTATTTATGTTTTGCTTTTTTCTCTTTTGGTCTCCTTTCCCTTATCTCTTAAATTTTCCTATTTTTTGTGACATCATTACTATCAGTTCTTGAATAGATAGCATCTGGTTTTTAAATTCTGTCATGTGCTCTCAAGGACTCATTGGAAATGTGATATAAATGTGACTTTAACAACCACAGATATCGAGAGGCCATTCAGAAGTGGGATGAAGCACTACAGTTAACCCCAGAAGATGCCACCCTGTATGAGATGAAGTCACAGGTAAGGGTTATGAAGAAGGCCACTTTCTTTATGAAATAGCACTGTGTGTGTTTGGTGAGCATGATGAAGCAAAGTAGCATTTCCTGCTATTTTTATTTAAAATAAAAACGGAGAGGAAGGGAGAGAGATAGAGAGTTAGAAACATCGATGAGAGAGAGTCATCGATCAGCTGCCTCTTGCACACCCCCTACTGGGGATGTGCCCACAACCAAGGTACATGCCCTTGACCGGAATCGAACCTGGGACCCCGCAGGCCGACGCTCTATCCGCTGAGCCAAACCGGTTCGGCATGTTTTTAAAAATGAAAAGAGTTACTTATATATGTTATATATTAGTAGTTGGCTAGTTTATGAATGTTACTGACAGGTTTCGTTTCTCTTTTTGACTCTAGGTCTTAATGTCACTTCATGAAATGTTCCCTGCAGTTCATGCAGCAGAAATGGCTGTGCAGAGAAATCCACATTCGTGGGAGTCGTGGCAAACTCTGGGGCGTGCTCAGCTTGGATTAGGAGAGATAGTCTTGGTAAGGAGTCAGATGATTATAATGCTAATATTTTGTTTTTGTTTGTTTAAATATTTATTTATTTTTAAAGATTTTTAGATTTTTAAAGAGAAAGGAAGAGAGAAAATTTGAGAGAGCAACATGGACTGGCTGACTGGGAATTGAACTGACTACTTTTTGGTGCACTGGACAACTCAACCAACTGAGCCACACTGGCCAGGGCTATGATTTATCCAGGGCTAAAATTTTATTTTGACATGTTTTGATCAGCTCAACCCAAAAGTTAGTCATTTATCAGGTCTATGCAAAAAATAAATAGCCAATCAGCCCTTAAAGGTATTAAACCACAAACACAGGTCAGAGTTATTACTGTTATTTACATCATAAACACCAATTATATCAGGGTCAGAATATTTTTCAGGTAATTAGAATCATGGAAATTAATTAAAAAAAAAATGCACATAGCCTGTAAGCATCGTGACCAGGATCGAAACCACAGTCTTGGTCTATGCCTGACTTGAAATTGAACCTGCAACCTTTTGGTGTATAGGACGACACTCTAACCAATTGAGCCACCTGGCCAGGGCAAAATTTTAATTTTTTTAAATAAGAGTACTCATTGTTTAACTGTTTCATTTCATTTTTTTCCTGTTGATATGGTTTTGTCCACTATGTTGTGAGATTCTTAAAGGAATTAAAACAAAGTTACTTTGTCTTCATTTAATGTTTTTTAGGGCTCTATTTGAATAAATATCTAAATTTGTAATATTTATGTAAAATTAATGTATCTTTTGAAAGATTGGAATGGTTGAAAATTACTCAATGTCATAATGAAGGGATACTATGAAAAATATATTGAAAGCAAGCTAAAATTTCTGACATATAACAATTCTTATTACAGGGGTGGGCAAAAATAGGTTTATAGTTGTTTGTATGAAAAATAATACAATAATCTATACTAATAAAAGGGTAATATGCTAATTAGACCAGGTAAACTGGACATCTGGTCATCCTGCCTTCCTTCTGGACAAAGCTACAGTTACAGGAGCTGAGGCAGAGGCAGGTAGACAGGTGAGCAGTTAGGAGCCAGTGGTTCCGGATTGCGAGAGAGATGTCCGACTGACCCCTTTGGGGCTAACTGCCATCCAGCAAGGGGTCCCAGATTGGAGAGGGTGCGGGCTCGGCTGAGGGACCCAAAAACTCCCTCCCCTTGTGCACAAATTTTGTGTGCTGGGCTCTAGTTAATGAACATTAATATAAGAATAAACTCTGTATTTTGTGTACTCACAACTATAAATCTACTTTGCTCACCCATAAATAAAAAATATAAGAAAATACATAATTAAATAGAACAGGTAATAAATTAAAAGTCAATAGTATATCTCTATAAGTAATTATTTAGATTTTTATGCAGAATTGGGTGTATATGTTGGAAAATGAATATAGGGTTGGTTCTTCTTTTTCTAATTTTTTGAGGTGTAAAGGTAGGTTTTGTTTTGTTTTTTTTTTTTACTTGAAATTTTTCTTTTTAAATAGGCAGTTAGTGCTATAAACTTCCTCTTAGTTCTGCTTTTGCTGCATCCCATAATTTTAGTGTATTTTTATTTTCATTTGTGTCAAGATCTTAATTTCTCTTTGATTTCTTTTTGAACTTACTGATTGTTCAAGAGTGCATATTTGTAAATTAATGTTAATGTCTGCATATTTGTGAATTTTCCCATTATCCTTTAGCTATTGATTTTAGTTTATTCCATTTTGGTCAGAAAAGATGTTTGTCTTTTTACATTTGTTAAGGCTTGTTTTGTGATGTATGTAACATGTGCTCTGTCCTAGAAAATGTTCCACGTGTACTGTTCTGCTGATGTTGAGTGAAAGGTTCTGTGTAGGTCTGTCTGGTCCATTGCTCAAATCTTGTTTCCTTATTGATGTTCTTCCCTTCAGTTCTGTCAGTGTTTACTTTATATACACAGGTGTTCTGATGTTGGGTGCGTACGCTTTTATAAGTGTTATATAATTACGGGGAGTCGACCATTTGTCATTATGCAGCATCGGCCTTGGTCTCCTGTGGCACTCAGTGCATGTTAGCACTACTGTGATCTGAACTCTTGGCTTCAAGGATGTGTGTTTCTGGTACCTTCCTGACCCTGACTTAGCCCCAGAAGTCACTAGATTCATGTATTAGCTGATCTGCAGAAGCTGAACAATGTGTTGGTTCTTGTTTTGAGCTATAATATCAATATCTCTATTTTGATGGACTTTTAATCCTCATCAGCAATTTGTCATTCCCTTTCACAGTTTTACAACCTTTTATTTTTCTTCATAATCATCATCCATGGTTAGGGCACAACCCTAACTTCTATCCATACATTCAGTTATGTTAAAAAATATATGTACTGTATTTTACATACATGCAGATATTGTGGATTATGCTAAATGCATTCATTATAAAAACAATGCAAGCAGAAAAACCTGGCCTTTTCTCTCTCTAGGCAATTCGAAGTTTTCAAGTAGCCCTTCATATCTACCCAATGAACCCTGAGATATGGAAGGAAGACCTTTCTTGGGCAAGAAAGCTCCAGGAGCAGCAAAAGGCAGCACAGAGGATGAAAAACAACAACGCACCGGCGGAAGTCACACATGTCTCGCCCAAGTCCATTCCCGACTATGACTTTGAAAGTGATGAGATTGTCGCTGTTTGTGCAGCTATTGCTGAAAAACAAAAGCCAGTTTCAGATAACAAAACAATGGTTATTGTGTCAGCTTCTGGGACCGTGGAGACTGTGAGTGAGAAGGAAGATGGGGCCACAGCCCCAGATGGCTCCGTTTTTATCAAAGCCCGATGAAGCTTAGCAGGAGCTGCTTGAATCTGCCTGTTTGATTGCCACAAAGTCTTAGGCAAATGCATTTACTCTGGAGAAACAGGGTCACACTCCTGTTTGTAAATCAGTTTTTCAGATGAGGTGTATACAAACTAAAGGGTAGACTTATTATAGAGCGTTTGGACTGTGCTTTGATAAGTTATGAGTTAAACTTAAGATTAGAATTCTGACTAGAATTCTGGGTTTTGATGAATAAACTTAATCCAAATGTATGAGTGAATATATTTTAAAGACAAAACTTGGAAGGGAATGCTTCAATAGTGAATAACTTGATGGCCAGTGTTATTAAAATATTGACTTTTTTTATGATAAAAGAAGTGGGTGATTTCTTTCTCTCCAAAAAATATACTGCTGTTACTGTTCACTCTTCTATTTTTCTTGTTTTATTAGAGTAACTTTGTCATGAAGCTTGAGTATTCTGATGTTCATGTTTGATACAAAATTGTCCTTTGGTTATATGTAGATTCTTTGCAAATTGAGCTGGAAATGCATGCAAATGTGTGTGTTCTGGACAATTTCTGTAGATACTCTTACGTCAGATTTATGCTTGTTTTGACTTTTGAATTACTCTCACCATGGTGGTTGTCGCCTTCAGTATTTGTTGGATGTGGGAATTACTGATACATTGTAAGAATGATGGTTTTATTTTTTCAGTTGTTAAAGTAGACAGTCCTTACCACAAGTGGGCCATTTATAAGATGTGCATTTTTTCAATGAATGGCTCTTATAGCTACATCATAAATTGTACTGCAATGTTGTCCTAGTCAAAAGCAGTTTTTTCTTTATTTTTAAAAGCTTAAAAACCCTATCCTGGTCGGTGTTGGCTGAGTTGGTTGAGTGTTCTCCCATGCACCAAGAGGTTGCTGGTTTGATTCCCAGTCAGGGCACATGCCCAGGTTGTGGGCTTGATCCCCAGAAAGGGGTGTGCAGGAGGCAGCCGATGGATGTTTCTATCTATCCCTTCTTCCTTTCTTTTCCTCTACCTCTAAAAATCAATAAGAACGTTAAAAAAATAAAAGCTTAAAAACCTTGAAAATAACTTACCTTTTGCTTATAACTGTTCAGCTAATGCTTTGGAATTCTTTTTATAGATAATTTGTTTGGAACTGCTCAGTAAAATGAGAAATAACCACAATTTTAAATTACTAAATTGTATCTTTTCTAAAAAGAAAATGAATGTAATGATGTTATTAGAAATCCAAAGAGTGAAAAACTTAGGCACAGCACACGTGGAGACTGAAATGTGATTTGTGATTGGATCTCGTGAATAGAGAAGGTATATTGAAGAAGTAGTTCATTGAAACAACAGTAGCCACAAATCAATATCGCCATTGCTAATGTGAACTGTTATCTTTGTAGCTCACTCATTGTAGTACAGTTACATAGAGCTGCTGGCCCTGTTACTTCTGACCCTCAGGAAGCTTTGTTGGTGTGACATTACTTTTATCCTTGTTGAAGATGGAAGTAAGTAACTCTGTTTGAAGAAATCTTCTGTTGAAACATTTGTTAGATGCATGTAAGTACTGGTTTCTATTTTTCTGAGATGATTTAAGGTTTTCTTTTAGTAGAATGTTTACCTCTATTTTTTTTTTTTCAGAGTCTGAGAAGTCAGCACTTGCCTTAAAAGGTATTACATTTCCTCCCAAAGTTATATTAGAAATTTATCCCTGGTTGGAGAAGTTAATTTTAGAATGATCCAGAAAACAAATATAAATTATATTTTATTTTATGAAAAATATTCTCAAAGGATGGGTAGTTGGGTGTCTAGAGAAGTTGGTATGTTGTTTTGTGTTAATGAGTATTTGTTTATATATAATCTGTGAATAGTCATTTTTCCTGTATTTTATTTCCTGTATTTTAAATATTTGCCTATTTTGTGTTGGCTTTTGAAAAACTGGGTTTCTTTCCTTCTTTCTTATGTGAAAATGAAATATGTAAAGCACTTTGTATGTTAGGTCACATATGAAGCACTTGATAAATGCTAGCCTTTTCTACTTATGAAGAGCTTGAATTAGTTTGGAGATATTTAACCTCAGTTGCTTCTGATTTTAAGAAAGTAGGAGAACTTCTTTGTGATTTTTTTCTTTATCTGAAAGTGAGGAGGCACTGCTTTGGATAGTTTAGGACAGATGGTCATCAATTGGGGGTCATTTCTGGTGTAAGGTCTATGCCTCGACCCCAAAAGAGGTAAGACCCAGGTCGGGGTGCAGGTTGCCACTAGCTGCTGCTGAAGAATCCCTTGTTCCCTTTGAGTTGGCATCTGTAGGCCAGGTTCATGCCCTTCTCACCCAGATACGGGACATAAGATGGTTTACACACGGGATGGAGGAGGAAAAGAAATTCTGACTTACGGAGAGGAAAGGCACCTCTTTTCTCCAAGCCCCAAAACATGCTGAGCTAACACTCCTCCATGCATGAGGAGAAAATGGCAAACATTTCTTATAGGGAGGTGAATACTGAGATACTGACACTTACTAAACTGACTGGAGAAAAAGAATTGATGTTCATGGTAAAACACAAAGATGTTTAATATACTTTCTGAAACAACACTACACATTAAAGTTATATGGAATACAATTTGTATTTTTCTTGGTGGAAAATTATATAGCATAGACACTCATTGAGAATCATGTATTATTCTCTAGACCCGTGGTTCTCAACCTTCCTAACACAGCTCCTCATGTTGTGGTGACCCCCAACCATAAAAGTATTTTTGTTGCTATTTCTTAACTGTAATTTTGCTACTGTTATGAATCGTAATGTAAATATCTGTGCTTTCCGAAGGTCCTAGGCAACCCTGCTAGTGGTTCTCAACTGCTGCTCTAGACAATAGGTTCTTGTCTTGTTATTCATCTGAAATCTAAGAAATGCTACATAAACATTGAAAAGTCATGTAATGTATAGATCACAGAACCTAAATGTATTGCAGTTGGGGTCTGTGTACAATATTTTATGGTAGTTTTAAGTTGTCATATGGCAAAACCGTAATGAAGACTTATATCAAAAAGGTTTGTCTCAGAAAGCTGGAGTTTCCATGATTATAACTTGCCAGTACAGCCTTTTTAGTTTTAAAATAAAGTCATCTTTATGTCATGATGTCAGAAGCTAGTTTCATTGCCTTTCCGCAGTAGGAAAACGGTCAGCCTTTTCTTAATTTCAGGCTTCATGAGTCAGAAGCCCTTCCGAATGGACTCTGGACTTTTATTTCATGACATAATGTATCTAAATGAGTTGACATAAGAGCCACAGTTTCATAATTATCTTCAAATCAATGATAATATTAAATGGTTTTTTTCTGAGAGATTATTAAACTTGTAGTGGATTTTGTAATTGATGGCACTTTAGGATTGAAAGGTAATGTGTTTTTTTTTTAAACATTAATATAGAAAGGAGGCGAACTTCTTTTACCAAAATGAATTGAAATATGCCGCTTCAGTCATTTGCGGTTCAGGAGGCCCACTTGAATGCAGAAGGGCAGCCCTGTAGCTAGCCCACCATGAATCGTGCCTAAATGTGTGCTGTGTGTGGCACGGTGGAAGGAAGGCTGAGAAACGTTGGCCTTCACTTTGTTGGGAGGCAGAGGGTAGAGATGGCTTCTTTGGACATCTATTAGCCAAGGAATCCTGATCTCTCTCTTCCCTCTCCCCTCCCACCCCTTGAGGAAGAGGGAGTTTAGGATAAGTAACTGGACATTAAAGCTCCTTTCCTTCATTTGGATTCATCTTGCCTACAGAGAGCCAAACTTAACAGTGTGTAAGCTTGGCAATGAAGGCTCTGCCTCTGTGGCTGGGCAGGACTGCTCAACTGGGTGAGTAGGTCTCTAATTCTGGGTTTGCTATTAGGTGGCCGTCGTTGGCATGAATCGAAATTACATCCTTTAACCTAGACTTTTTCAGCAATACATACTGGTTCTCCACCTGCCTGACTTTTTTTGTTTCTCAAATGTTTCAGAAGTCAGGAGGAGGATTGGGTACTATATGCCTCCTTCTAACCCCCAACAAAAAATGTCAAATTACAGCGGGGAGGAGAGGGAGATCTGGGGGAGATAAGAGATCAACCGAAGGACTTGTATGTATGCATATAAGTATAACCAATGGACACAAAACTCTGGGGAGGGAGGGCATGTATGGGAGTGGGGGGCGGGCAATGGTAAGATATGTACACATAATAATTTAATAAAAAATAAATTAAAAATAAATTTGAGGAAGAAAAAAAATGAGTGTAGGTTATATTTCAAAGTAAGCACGCGACAAAAACCAAATTAGAAATGTTTTCTAATTCTAGATTTTTTTTTTTTTGTAAATCATGGAAATTCTATTGAAATGGATAATCTTAATTACAAGGTAGCATGTACGTATTTTCCAGCGTATAAGACGACCCCCTAATTTTACAGTGAAAACATAGGTTTAGGCCTATATTCGCTGTATAAGACTACCCCCCACTTCAAAGAAAAGACTTATTTGCCGTCAAGATCTGCAGGTAATTTTTGTGCAATTTTGGTCTTTTGCCCCCGATTTTCGATTGACTTTTTTTTTCCGTTTCAAAGGTCGTCTTATACGCCGGAAAATACGGTAAACGTTTGTTCAGGATATTTAAAAGGTCTACTGACTTTTAATTGTGATAGACCACAATGTTAACTCTAGTTTTAATTGGAAAGAAAGAATGTGAGACGAACTATGATATCCTCTGTGAACGTGGTCAACTTTCTTACATATAATACAACACATCCATTATAAATTTACATAGGAGGAGTTTAGACATGTGAATGCCTATGCAATCACCATTACCATCAAGATACAGAATATTTCCATCACCCACTCAGTTCTCTTAGGCTCATTTGCAGTCATTCTCTTCCACCCCAACAACCAGTACTGTTCTGCTCCCTGTGACTATAAATTAGATTGAACTTTTCTAGACTTTCAAATACAATATGTACTTTGTGTCTGACATTTTTTGCTCAGTACAATACTTTTGTGATCTGTCCATGTTACTGTGCATGTCTGTAATATGTTCCTTTCTATAGCTGAGTATTATTCTGTTGTACGGATATAACACAATTTGTAGCTTTTGTGTTATATTGTTGATGGACATCTAGGTTGTTGATGAACATCTTGAGTTTTGATCTGTTATGAATAAAGCTGCTACGTATGTGTGTTACAAGATGGTGTGTGGGTATATCTTTTCACTTCTCTTGGGTAACTACGTGGTGGTGGCATTGCTGAGTTTTATGGTAAGTATGTATGTGACTGTAGAGGAAACGGTGACATTTTCTGGTTCTCTTTTGTATCAGCAGTGTATTGAAAAGTTTCAGTTACTCCATCTCCTTGTCAGTACTTGGTATTGCCATTGCTTTGCATTTGAGGAACTTAGTGGATGTGCAGTGTCTCTCATTGTGGTTTTAATACCCATTTCCCTGGTTACGTTGGGCATCTTTTCATTTGTGTATTTGACATTTGTATCTTCTTTTGGGAAGCACCTGTGCACATCTCTTCCCTAGTTTTTATTTGGGTTATCTTTATATTGAGCTGTAAGAAATCTTTTTTTCTGTATTCTGGATAAAAATCCTTTATGAGATCTATGGATTGTAAATATTTTGTCCCTATCAGTGGCTTGCCTTTTTGTTTTCTTAATGTCTTAGGAAGAGCAGAAGTTTTAGATTTTGATGGAGTCCAGTTTTCATTTTTTTAAAATTTTATGGTTATAGATTCTTTGGGCTGAGAAATCTGCTTACTCCGAAGTCAGAAAGAGTTTCTATTTTCTGCTAGAAGTTTTACAGTTTTAGCTTTTATAGTTAGGTCTGTGATCCATTTCAAGTTAATTGTAGGTATGGTTGGAAATAAAGGTTGAGTTTTTGTTTTGTTTTTATATCCAGTTATTCAAGCACTATTCATTGAAGAACTCCAACTTTGTTGAAAATCAGTACACCATGTACTGAGCTCTGTATTCTGTTACACTGATGTACACTGAGTGGCCAAGTTATTATGATCTCTGAACATATAATAATCTGGCCACTCAGTGTATATATATTAGAGGCCCAGTGCATGAATTTGTGCATGGGTGGGGTCTGGCCAGCCTGGCCAGGGAGAGAGGACATGGGCGGTTGATCAAACTCCTGGTCGAGGGGACAATTTGCAGATTAGCCTTTTATTACATAGGAAATACATTGAATGGCCAGATTATTATGCGTTCAGAAATCATAATAATTAGCCACTCAGTGTATATGTCTATTCTTAAGCCATTAACACACTGTTTTGATTACTAGCTTCAAAATTGTAGCCTTAAAAAAAAAAAAATCACTCCCTCCCCCCCCCCCCAATATTGTCCCATATCCTCATTTTATTTACTTAATTTTGTTCATTAGGTACCACATATTAGTGAGATCATATGGTATTTTTCTTTCTCTGACTGGCTTATTTCACTTAGCATAATACACTCCAGGCCCATCTATGTGGTCCCAAAGTGTAAGATTTCTTTCCTTTCTGCAGCTGTGTAGTATTCCATTGTGAAAATGTACCACAGCCTTTTTATCCAGTTATTTGCTGATGGGCACTTTTTGTCTATAAAAAAAAAATCACACTGTTCTCTCCAAAACCGAGGAACTCAAGAGTGTATTTATTTATTATAATCTCCAAAATAATTTCAGTTGGTACAACTGCTTCATATCACTGTCAGGCTCAGAATTTAATTACAACCAGGCAATTCACAAAAACACTTGTAAGCAACAGAACATGCTTAATATTTCTTTGAGAAGGTTTTCTTCACATGTGTACAGCATTACAGGGTGTGACACAAAACTGTTAGAAGGTGACTTCACGTGCCCATCTGGTTAGATGATCTGGTTGGACATCTGACATCTGTGAAAGGCTACTTTAACCAATCCTTTCACGTCGCAGAGTAAAAGTCACTATGGTGCATGCAGTCTGTCTTCCTCTTAGATTTTCAAGGATGTTCTAGATCATTCCTTAGGAGAGTAAAACTATACACAATTTCAAGGGAAAACAAGCTGCTTAGGCTGTTTACTTTTAAATTGTACACTTCAACTATGAGTTGTTAACGACTTTTTAAAATTTTATGTCACATTTTTAAAGTACCATTTTGTGGGGACAAAAGTAGAAAATACTGGCCAGTATGTTAGGTTCTCCAAAAATCAGATTTCTGGATAAATATGTGTAGCCAGCACTAAACATTTCTCACCATGAAGTACACATAGATCGGGAAGGAACTTTAATAGTTTGGACTGTAATTTTCATGTCCTAAAATAGTATTTTTCTTTATTCTTTTAATAGTACTCTTCCTTTAAAAAAAATCTTCCTTTTAAAATAAATCTATATCCATTTTACAGGTATCAGTTTCACTATGAATTTTCAACACCTCAGCCTGAACTTATTTATGAAAATAAAAATCTAGCATCTATAATTTCAGCTTGTTCTACTGGGGAGGCGAGGGGTTAACCATACACTTATACTTTGTATTGACAATAAACCTTCTCACAGAGAAGAAAATACTTTAAATACCTCAAATCATATTTACAACGATAAAATTCACATTTCATGCTTTAGTGAGACACTTCAATCATCCCTAAGATAGACAGTCCTCCTAGTTCATGGACCGCAGCCCTTCCAGCCCCGCCTGCTGCATACAGATGTAACGCTCTGCTCCTCATGTTCTGAAAAGACCAAACCTTGGCTGTCTTCCTGTGAAGCAGGGCACCGAGGGTGGATCTCAATTAGGTTTTGACCCTAACCCACCCCTGCAGGTGGGGACCAAGGAGTCCAGGCCTCAGGAGCCATGGGAGTCGGCTTGATTGATTAAAAAGTGCTCAAAACCCAGATGCTCCTCTTGGGAGCCCGGGACAAACACTGCCCTTCCCAGCACAGCCCAGCAAATGCTTCACCGCGCATCAGTTGCCCAGGATTTTGTGAGCTTCCAGACACAGGGCTGTGCTCCTTCCCTCAGCTCCTATATGCACTTCTCGGATAAGTTCAGTGTCTCATTGGGGAATGTGACTTGCAGGGAGCTGGCCTTGGGGGCGGGCCCAGCACCGCCCCCAACCTCGTCCACCAGTAAGACGCTCTCCGAGTCCTGGCCCTGCGAGGAGTCCGAGGTCTCTGATATCCGCAAAGTCCTCAGGGAGGTGGTGTCTGTTTGGGGCAGGCTCATGCCGGGCACCCCCGGCAGCAGGTTCCTGCCCGCCAGGCCCGTGTCTCCGGGGTCTGGCATGTACAGGAGAGTCTGGGACGTGCTGCTGATCTCCTTCAGCTCCCGGGACAGGAAGGAGCGCGAGTGGCCGGACAGGGCGGAGGATGTCCGTCTGCTGTCTGAGCAGTGCTGCCCCGAGGTGTCCCTGCCGGACCCGCCGATGCGGCAGAAGAGGCATTTGATCTTCTCCATGGCTTTGCTGAGCACTGTCTTCCGCAGGAGGATGTAGATCCAGGGGTCCAGGATGGGGTTCACAGAGGCGATGCGGATGGCCTGCAAGTCTGGGTTTTTGCTGACCTCTCGCACTAAGCTCGGCTGATACAACTGGTTGATGAACACTCGCACCTGCACAAACGAGATGGCTACGATCAGATTTTGGTTTTGCTCAACCGGGGACATGTTTGCTGCAGTGTTTAATTTAGCAACATTAGGTAGCTGGCCTCTTTTTCCGGTAACAAGTGCCAAAGAAAGAGCAGCATAAGCGTCAGAAAAACCACTCGCTGGGCAATTACGGTTATGCTTCGAGTTAGTGTAACTTTAAGTATGTTTGTAGCATGCCTTTCCTAGATCAAAGATGTCCTATAAGAATGCAATATGTGAACAGGGAACAGTACATAAAGTTCCCTTGAAAAGCATTTTATTAACTTCATTTCTGAGTGCTTTTAAGGTTTGGTAATTCTATGAAGTATGCTTTTTAAAATTTTATTTATTGATTTTAGAGAAGCAGAGAAGTTAGAGAGTGTGTGTATGTGTATGTGTGTGTGTGGAGAGAGATGTTTGTTGTTCCACTTAATTTATGCATTCATTGGTTGACTCCTGCATGTGCCCTGATAGGACTGAACCTGAAACCTTAGGATCCCACATCCTTGGTGTATTGGGAAGATACTCTAATCAACTGAGCCACCTGGCCAGGACAGGAATATATATTTTCTTCCAATAACCTTTTATTTTCCTTATTCCAGCTGCCATTTATATTTAAGTGAAACTCATTTTGTAAGCCAACTAACCATCTATTCATCACAGACAAGCCCAGAGATCCCTTTATTTTAGAGTCTAGAAAGAATACTGTAATGGTTGAGCCAATGTCCAAATCTGCTGTCATCCAGAATGACCAGAGAGGTTTTTATTTTTTTCAAAGAGGTTTTCCTTTTTTTTTCAGTCATAATAAACTCTTTCTCTAAAAACCCGTTCCAGTCTTTCCCTACTGCATTTCTCACCTGGATTATTGTGTCAGCCACGAAACTAGAGTTCCCACCGCCAAAAGCTCTCCTCTCTGATTCATCCTTCAAACTGCCACCAGGAGATTATTTCTGAAATGCAGAGCTGATCATGCTACTCAGCTCCCTGCTGCTTTCCAACTCTTGTTTTGCTCTACAACTCTGCTCTATGACCCCGCCCTGAATGCCAATCAGAATCCTGCCTTTGTGCCTGCCTAGCGTTGGAGCTGGTAAGTAGCCAAGAGCTAAAAGAACACTCTGGACGCACCAGGAGGGGTGACAGGTCATTCTAGTGCAGACTGAGCTGTTTAAGGGGAGAAGCACGTGGGCCAGCCCACATACCCACAGGCCAGGTCTGGCTTAAGTGAAAGGAACACAAGGAGACCCTAACGACCTGCCTGCTATTTTGGAGTCTTATTTTTGGCAGTTAGAAAACTTTGCTCTTACTATAACCATTTATTTACTCACTTCTTTTTTGGGTAATTTTAATTCCAGGATGTAAAGTTCTTTCTGATAAAGGACACAATCTTATGAGACAAAGCTGCTTGGTTTCTTCCCACCACAGTCTATTGAGGTTCCCAGCTGTGTCTGGACACAGATTCACTCCCCTTACATCTACGGGCTTTTCAGATGAAATGTTGCTGAGATCTAGAGGTTTCGAGGAACTTATCCAGGTCCCTACACTGTTGGTGGCCAACTCTGGTTTGGGCCCCAGGTCTCCAGATGACTGACCTCCATGTTGCTTTTCCTGTTCTACCAGGCTGGCTGGCTTTCTGTTTAACAATTATTCCCAGCAGTGGAGCTATTGCTAAAAAGAATGAGGTTTACATTTTACTCATATCATACACTATTTTTCCTAAAAAGAAAAGAAATGATGGATTAAATCAGGGCCACTCTCCAGGAAAAAGCAAGACCTGTGGCAGGGTTTATAGAACTTGAGGCTCGCAGCCTCTAGGTGGCAGTGTTGTTCCACTTGGGACTTTTTGATCCCACAGAACATTCCTAGGAAGTATTTTCCCCCTCCAACTCTCAAGACTTTTCAGAGCAGAATTTTGGTGAAGTCTGCATTTAGCATTTCTGATATTTTTTTTAACACTTCCAATGTTTTGTTTCTAGTTGCTTCTCCCACTACATCCTCAAAGAAACCATGGTTACTAATGAAAGGCGGTTTAAATGGATATAGAAGGAATGACAGTTTTGACTACTGTAGAAGAAATGAAAGGAAGCTCTATTTATTTTAATAGGAGAAAAGATATGCACATTTATTAATATTTTTATGTGCACAAGCATTCATTAAAAAGTAAAAGAAGCTTATATGTCCTTTTTAACAAAGAAAAGAGGGTTTGGGCTTCCAGAGAGGTCAGTGCGGGGCAGGGGATATATGGGGGACTAATGGAAGATAAGAGGTTTTTTAAGGAAGGTTTATGCAGGCTCATCTTGGTGTGGCTCTGTCACCTGTGATAAGGGTCACTCTGCTCACCCTAGTCATAGGAGGGAGGGGGAATTATGCCACCTTCACCAAGGGAAATTCATGCCATGCTTTTAGTTAGATAAAGGCAGGAAACTAAGGAAGCCCAATTTTAGAGTTCCATTGGGGATGGGGAAGCTTACAATTAACACAAGGCACTGAACTTGGTCCTTTAACATTGTTTCAGTAAGGGGGAGTTGCCAAAGTGGGAAAAAATAAGTAGAAAAAGCAAAATGCCAAATTAAGGTAAGAGTATTCTCAAAAGTTGGTTATTATTTTAGAAGACAAAGAAGTTTGCCTTTGCAGCATGCTCTCAATGAGACTGACTTGAAGTACAAAAAGCAAAAAAAACCCCCAAAAAACCCCACAAATTCCATGCACTTCATGACACTTGAAAATTACAGCAATGGCTGCCTCACTTTTAAGGCTGCTACTTGATTTGATCTTCCCAAAGGGGGAAACACCAAATTAAGATGGGAATCTCCACAGCAATGTCACGTGGGTAGGTAGGTGAAAACACTTTTCTGGAATTGTCTCTCATCAGGCCATATATGTAACACAGATAAACATGTCCAGGCAGTGTTCAGTGTTGGAAGAGTGTGCTGCTGATAAAGACAGAACCTCTGAGTCAGGAGGGAAAAACACCGTTAAAAAAAATTCACCGAATACAAACACACATAATCTCCTGCAACTTTACAAGTTAGCCTATTTTTTATGTAGCTGCAGATTTGCGCATGTAGTTTATTGTTAGTATTGGCATGCGTTACAATATTCTCAACTTCCTGAAGATGACTACAGTTTAGGGTGAAGAAGAAAATATGACACATGCAATGGAATTTGTGACTACAGCAAAGTTATGAGGAGGCTGTTTGCTATAGAGGTCAGTGCCTGAGCATTGGAATCAAGCAAACCTCTATTCTGGCTCTGCTCCTTCTAATTTATGTACAATTTATGAAAGCACTTAGTAAAAATGGCTAATAGCCCAGCTGGTGTGGCTCAGTGGTTGAGCATTGACCCAAAAACCAGGTGAACACCAGTTCAATTCCTGGTCAGGGCACATGCCCAGGTTCTAGGCTCAATCCCTAGTTGGGGGCAAGCAGGAGGCAGCTGATGGATGTTTCTCATTGATATTTCTATCTTATCCTTCTTTCTTCTCTAAATCAATAAAAAATATTAAAAATGGCTAACATATATCTGTTGGCTCTTCTCACTCTTTTGGTAACTCATATGTAGAAGCTTGGCCACTGTGGAATCTATCAGTAATTTGAAAACTGCAGCTTAGATGTAGCTTTTGGTACAGCTAATGACACGATATCAAAAACATGTACTTCCTGTTCAAGAAGAACCTGCTGGCAGGGGATGTCTAATTGAAAAAGAATGCTCAAGTCTTGATGGAACCGACTTTTAGTCATCAATTGTCAAGGTAGAAATGCTTCCCAACAAAGGAGAAGCTCCCGCAGGGGGACCTGTGCATGTGTCTTGCTTGTTTGTGCCAGGCACATGGAAGGAATGTTGCGTGTGTACTCAGCCATCCTTCCTTGTGAAGAGCCCCTAATGGATGCAGCTGTTAGAGAAATTATTACCTCTTCTGTTTTTAGTGACGAAACCCCACTTTACATAAAGAATAATGAGAAGAGTTCTTGCCTGGGCGGCTGGAGCTCAGTTCCCCCTCCCTCCAGGTCACTGACTGGCCACAGACGGCAGGCAGATTGCTTACTCCTTCAGGCAGGCTTACACCGACAGTTTATTTCTGCAGGAGCCACCCCTGCTCTGGGGCAACTACATCTTGTAGATGTTCAATTAAAAACAGCCTGGGCAGGCAGCACCGTGTGGTGGGGAGAGCATGAGAGGAGGACTTCCCCACCACCACCCAGTTAGCTGGGTAATAATGCAAATTCTTAGTCTGTGGTTGAGGAAACAGGTGCAGAGAGAGTGAATATGTTGGCTAGCCCTGAATTCTCCTCAGAGCTTTTGTCAATGAGATGCCAGATGCAGAAATGTTTTTGTTACTCTGCAGACTTCAAGATACAAGTCCTGGATCTGCAATGTGAGGCTATAACTAAATAACTGCTTTTAGGAATTGCTATTAGAAAAACAAAACTTAATCCAATTTTTTTGAAAACAAAACAAAACAAAACAAAAAAACAACAACCCTCAATTCCTTCAGTTTCTGCTGTAACTATACCCAAATCTATGGCTTTTTTGGACCAAGAGATGGGAATTCTACTCAAGTGAAATCCCAGTAAGTGTTTTATGACTCTACTTCCTGTTTGCCTAAGGGAAGCAAGTGTATCTCTCTATGTAGTTCCCATCTGCCCAGATAATCAGAAACACTCACAGGACACTTTTCCTACAGACCTAAGTTTCAGGCAGAAGATGAACCAAATTGGCCATGCCACCCCTAACAGATGAACACTTACTACTTCAGAGCAAGAAGAACATACAAAGAACCGTAAACAAACACGCCGTGCCCGCATGGGGAAGATGCCTCTCCCAATCCTACGGTGTCACTGTTTAGTTCTGAGGCAGAGATTGGATTGTAACTGTTACTTTAAGCGCCAACTTAGGCACATTCACACTGGACCCTAGGAGGCCGTCTTGCTTGCATATTTCTAAAAAATACAATCCCTTTTACTCCTCTTTCACATCTTCAGCTTCTCCTGTGTTTCAAAAAGCCAGAGGCTGGTTGACAAAAAGCACCTTCCCACTCTACCTTGTCATTAATGTCCCTTGGAGGTGCACTCACACCTGTAGGTGGCTGATTGTGACTCAGGAAAACCTCCCAAGTTCAGCACGCTTCCTCATTGCCACAACTAACATCCCCACCTCCCTCACATTTCCAACCTGAGCTCCACTTGGGAGCCACACTTCTGTTGGATAACACATTAATATTTACTTTGCATCCTGGACTCTGTATCAACCGCCCTCTGAGAGTCACCTGGCTGCTGCTTCCCTTTCTCCCAAAACTTTGCTTTTCAGCGGCTGTGCCAAGCTCCCTCTAATTCCACGCAAACTGTGTGAGTGCTAAGAGCCTTTCCAGAGCTTTTCAGTGTTTTGTTTGTTGTTGTTTTTTTTTGGTCTTTTTTTGAGGGGTTTGGTTTTTCCTCAAATAGGATTAGCAACTTGATAAAGTTAAAAAGATGCTTCATTTGTTTTTCTCTGCAACCGAAGATAGGTCCGGCTGCTTTAAATGTCAGAGAAACACACACACACACACACACACACACACACACACACACACAAAACAAAAAAACAAACAAGAAAGTTGCAAACAGAAGCCAAAGAAGACTGTAGCTGTGGATAAGTTTCCCTTTGAATTCCTCCAATAATTGAAAGCTGTGGGTGGGTGGGCAGTATGCATGTCATCTTTGAGTATCATTAATTCACAATTAAACTGTGAAATTCGATTTTCAGAGTGAAATTGCTTAATACCTACTCCCCCTTAATGAGTTTCTATAGAGTGGACAGGATTCATCACCTAAAATGTGGTTAATTTGCAAACCACGAGTAGAGTGCCTGTAATTTCTTGCCTCTGGCCTCTCCAGTAGTTTCAAAGGTTTTGTAATAAACCGCCCTGCACCTCAGAGCCACGTCTGCGCCTTCGGCTGGCGGGAAGCACTCCACCTGTGACTGCAGCCACTGGTGGCTTGACAGGCTCGCCCCAACCACAGCACAGTTACAAAGTAAAGGACGCCCAGGCTCTAGCTCTGCTCCTGCCAGTGGGTCCTCTAAGCGCCCAGCTCAGGGAAGGTTCTGCAAAACATCAGGCAGAGGCCCGGGAGGGGGCCCAGCCAGAGCTGCGTGGCTCTTCCCAAACCTCCCTTTCCTCGGAGTGGCCGCTGCGCACACTGAAATACATTTATGTGGCTCAAGCGAGACTTAACTCCCTTAGTTATGCCGGGTCCTGGAATGGTTTACAGGCCCCGTTGGCCAATGATATTTACTTCTGTTTATACAAACTGGCAAGGAGCTACTACTGTGCGCTGGCTCCCCGCCGCCTCCGAGTTCCTTCCATCTACAGTCACTTTTATGAGAGATATACCATTTTACATTCAACATTCCTGGGCAGTTCCAGGAAGGGAAGGAAGGAATAATACCTTTATTTGCTCTTGCTTCCCATCAGCATAGGAAAGAGAAGTCATCTCCTCCGGAGTTTTAGGCATTAAGTGTTTTGAGAGAGAAGGAAACTCAGAAGCGGTTGCTTTTAAGGGGAGCTCTCGGTAAAGCATGTATGTCTGCCCACGGGTGTCCGGTGCATTCCATTTTAACGGCACACGAAGTAGAGGAGAGCTAGGTAGGGTTTCAACATTGCTGCTAATAACATTTTAAAAAGTTAACCCCGAGGCCATTTTAAAGAAGGCGACGCTTTAAAAACGAAGCCTGTGGAAACGCAAACACACACTGGCAGGAAGGCCAACCTGAGAAGCGTCTGGGGTCCCCAGCTGCAGAGTGGGGGCCCCCAGTACACAAGCACCTTTTCCCTCGGCTGGTCCCGCACCTCTCCCAAGTGGTTGAGAATTCAGACCCAGCACCCATGGCCCTCAGCCTGCCCGGAAGAACCCTGCTTTCCTGGCCGGAGAGAACACCGGACACAGCCCGTGCGGCACCTGTCCCCACAGGCACCCAGATGCCCCCCAGGCCCTGCAAGTAGAGCCGTGGCGTTCTCAATTAGTGCAAGCAAGCCAATGCCCTGTCACCTGAGCGAGTTGGGTTACACCAAAAGGCATTCGCCTTCCAGCCCTGAAATCCTACAGGGCCTCCCCCCCAAATCCTACCCAAACCAACACCCCGTCAATCCCACTGCTCTAAGGAAGGAGGAACGGTGCGCACCAGAGCCCAGCGCCCCCGAGGTTTCGGGTTCTGCTGTTCTCAGTCACCCCACAGCGGTTTCCCCTCCGCGTCTGGCTGAGAGGCGGGGGTTCCAGGAAGGCTGGCAGCCAATGCCAGGCAGCTGCGGGTAGGGGCTGGGATAGGGGCTGTCCCGGGGGAGAAAGCGGGCCAGGCTTTCCGGAAGCACCTGCCGCAGCAGCATCTCCATAGGGATGTGCTGCCCGAAGGGAGGGCGGCCGCTCTGAGAGCTGAGTGCGGGGTCCCAGCCCGACCTGGAGGGGCCCTGCCTGCAGCCCGGGAGGGAAAAGGAGGGGGTGGGAGGGAAGAAGGCAGGGAGGCGGACCCGGGAGACTCACCACGAGCGGGATGGAGCAGATGAGCACCACCAGCGAGGTGGCGATGAGCAGGATGACCATCTGGATCTCGGCGCCCGCGATGCGGCGGAAGCTGCGGCGGCGGCGGACGTCGTGGAGGCGCGGCAGGGCGGGCGAGGCGGCGGCCGGGGACCCCCGGCGGGCGGCGGAGGCCGAGGAGGAGGAGGAGGCGAAGGCGAAGGCGCCCACCGCGTGGTGCTGCTCGGCGCCCAGCGAGGTGCGGCGCACGAACTGGCGGTGCATGCGGAGCAGCGCGCCGCACACCAGCACGTTGCAGAGCACGGTGGCGAGGATGAGGAAGGAGCTGAAGCCGGCGTACATGTAGGAGAAGGCGGCGTGCGCCGTCACGTTGGTGGTCCAGTCGATGAAGCACCAGGTGTCCGGGTACTGCAGGCGCGAGCTGCCCAGGCCCATGCCCGGCAGCGCGCAGAAGAGCACGTTGGACGCGTAGACGGCGAGCAGCGTGAGGCCGGCCAGCCGCTGGTCCACGTAGTGGCTGTAGAAGTACGCGTGGTTGATGGCCAGGTAGCGCTCGATGCTCATGGCGCAGATGATGCTGAGGCCCGACAGGCCGAAGAAGAGCAGGATGAAGGTGCTGTACTCGCACAGCGCCGGGCCGCCCGGCCACTCGCCCCGCACGTACGTGGCGATGGTCACCGGGCTCACCAGCAGCGTGCCCAGCAGGTCGGTGACGGCCAGCCCGCACACCAGCGTGTAGAAGGTGGTCTCCTTCTGCTCCTTGCGCGACTTGCACAGCACCACGATGGCCACCAGGTTGCCCACCACGCCGAAGATGAACATCACCGCCGGGATGGTCACCGGGCTGCTGGGGGGCCTGGCTGGGAAGGAGGCGTTGGCCGCGGGCGCGGACATGGTGGTGGCGGCCGGGAAGGGCGAGGCTGGGTCTGGGGAGGGGAGGAGAGACGGGAGCGGTGAGATGGAAATCGCCCCCAGCAAAGGGGGGCCGAGCTGCACCCCAGAAACCGAACGCAGAGGAGACGGAGGACTCGATCCCACTTTGTGGACGGTAGCCACTTGCCCACCGCGGCTCCCCACCTCTCCCGGCTCCCGATGCGCCCCGCCGGCCGCCCCACGCCACGCGCGTTAATATGCATAAGTGGGTACAGCCATTCTCTCCGCTCCCCTCTCCCCCCCGCCCCCCCAACTCAACTCCACTCCACCGCCTAGACGATTAAGGCCCATCTCGAGGGAAAAGTGGTTCGCTCTAAGTCCCCACCCGTTCTGAGTCAGTAACATCCTCATTGAAAACAGGAAAGACAATGGGGAGAGCGCGCGCTCCCCTCCCTGGCTCCGCTCTAGGGGCCCCCGCCCCCCGCTCTCTGCCCAGTGCCCCCAACCCCGTCTCACCTGTGGGGGCCGCGGAAGTGCCCAGAGTCAAGCCTCAGATGCGCCGGACACGCCTCCAAACCCGTCCTCCGCCTCGCCCCGCGCGACGGGGAGCCTGACCCGCGCTCCCCGCTCAGAGCCGGGTCCCCGGCGGCCGCCCAGGGTCTGGAGCTGGGGTCAGGGTGGGCAGCGTTCAGAGACCTGGGGAGCCGGCAGGGCCGCGGGGGTGGGCCGGTGAAGCCGGCTCTGGGGTGTCGTCCCTTCGCGGATGCTCCGAGCTTGGCGGAGCCCCTGGGCGGATGACGGCCCGCGGTGCGCGGCGGCGCGCAGGTGGCACGGAGCCCCTGGCCCGGCTCGGCCGCCCTCCTCCGCGGTCCGGGGCAGGCGGGCGGCTACCGGGGCTGGCGGCTGCCGTTGGGGCCGCCGCTGGCTCCCTGGGGGCGGCGTGGGGTCCTCTGGGCCGGAGGCTCTGCCCTGGGGCCGCGCATCTTCTTCCTCCCGGGCCGCCGCGTCCCGTGCTCCGCGGTGCCCTCCCAGCCGTCTCTGCACAAACTTTTCCCGGGCGGCGAGTTCCCCTGCGGGGGCGGGGCCTCGGCGCGGGGGCGGGGCCACGGCGCGCGGCCCGGGCGCCCATTGGTCGGAGGGGCGGGCGGGGCGGGGCTCGGGCTGTGCGGTCCCAGGCGCCGCGTGGGGACGCTGTCGGTGGGGACACTGTGGGTGGGGACGCTGTCCGTGGGGACGCTGTCCGTGGCTTCCCTGGTCGCCGGGGCGGGAAGGTCGCGGAGTCAGGTTCCCGCGCCTCGGGCCGATTGTGCGGGGAGTCTGGGGAGCCGGGCGCGCTCCCGGGCACCCTCGTGGCCCCTCTGGACAGAGCATCCAGGGGACCGGGCATCCCGGGGGCCGGGCATCCAGGAGACCGGGCATCCAGGGGACCGGGCATCCCGGGGGCCGGGCATCCAGGAGACCGGGCATCCAGGGGACCAGCGCATCCCGGGGGCCGGGCATCCAGGGGGCCGGGCATCCAGGAGACCAGCGTATCCCGGGGGCCGGCGCTGAAACCAGCATTTCGAACGCACTGCCTCCGGCTCCCAGGGCTGTTTCCCGCATCCCCGCACGCAGGTCGCATCCTCTGGTCGCTGGGATGTGCGGTCCAGGCTCTGGGACTCTCCCAGGCGCGGCCCCGGGTTGGAAGTAGGGTGCGCGCCACGGCCCGCCAGGGCGGGTGGGTGCCAGGCTTGGGCGGGGGAACCGCGAGGTCCTCCTCTGGTCGTGATTGGGGTTGGTGGCAGTTCCCAGGCTGGAACTGCGCTCCGAAGGGCAGCCCCAGGGGAAAATAAGGGGGGGGGGGAGCGGGGAGAGAGAGAGAGCTCCCCCAGAGCAGGTGGCAGCGCCCAGCAGCTCGGAGAGAGGTGGCCCGCGGGCGCCACGTGGGAGAGGAGAGAGCGTGGGAGGACTGCTGTCTGGCCACGAAGCCCTTTACCTTTCTCCTCTCCTGGGCACTCCGCCCTGCGGGAGCGGTTAGCCTGAGCGTGGGCCTTTGCCCTGTTATATGCACCTCAGAGGCTATGCCGGGAGTCCTTGGGCAGGCTGAGGCAGGGCGAGGCAGGCATGGGAAGTCTGAGAGTAAAGGAATTCTCCAGTCATTACCTCCAAAATCAACTCTTGGAAAAGCCAACCTGCTCTACCTGGTTCTTTGGAAGTATAGTTTGATTTCTTTTACGGTGGGAACAGTTGTTCTGTATACTCATCATTCACGTCTCCCTACTCTATTTCCTAAATTCAGAACTGAAAACTAAAAACAAAACAAAAAAACAAAAAAACTTAAAAAAATAGATTGTGAAACTTTATGCTGTGATTATAACCGTTTCATCATTAAAAAAAAACAAAACACAACATAAAGTGAGACTATGTGGGCCTTCACAGAACTTAAATTCCTAGAAAGACCTCTTTCCTGTGTCCCTTATGCATTTTAACGTACTGCGTTTCCTCACAGAGTTAGTGAGTAACTCTATCCTTTTATATGATAAGCAGGCCCGAAGTCCTTAGGTGTTATTATATTTTATGAATAAACAAACCTAAGGCTTTCCGGTTCTCCAGTTATTCTCAAACGGCACAGTAACAACTGAGCAAGATACACAAAGAGGGCATTTCAGATTTCAACGTCAGGGCATGAACCGTCTAGACTTACACGGACTGTGGAAGGCACCACGCGGATGTATTCCTACAGCAACATTCTGTTTACACTATTTCCTCACGAATAGCAGGGATTCAAAACCGGAAACGCTTGTTATCCAACAAAAAGAATTGATGGCTACGGGTCCATGTCTGAGAGTCCTCGCTTAGTCACCGCAGTAGTGGCTTCTGTTGCCCAGGCTTCCTTTGAGCAGGAACTTAGCTGATTGTGTCAGCACCGAAAGCACATCAACCCTAGAAATAGGAAACGGCACCTGCTTCCTCCATCCTTTTCTAACCACGTTGCATCACTGTCACTCTGTCAGGTGGTTGTCAGTCAGCATGTGAAGGGGAGGTGGGAAGTCCCACCTCTTTCACATTCGGCTGATAAAAGCATCTTTCCATCTGAAGTTCCAAAAATGGAAAAACAGTTAAGACTGGTACATGTTAATTTTTCATGGTAGAGAATATTAAATATGAAAATGTAGGCAGAAGGCAGAGATGATTACCTAGTAATCACAGATAACAGATATTACAGGTTTGTAGCATGTCATTGATAACTTGGGCTTGTTATCAATGGAGTTGTTTTTCTTTCGAGTCCTTAAAAGTTTATTTTTTACAGTAGCTTTAGGAAGATGAAAATAAATAAGAATCCAGGACTAAAAAATATAATGAGGTTTACCTGTATCTTCTGTTGGTGCATGATTCTTTAAAAAAATATATATATATTTTATTTTATTTTATTTTATTTTATTTATTTTATTTTATTTTATTTTTATTATTATTATTTTTTTTTTACAGAGAGGAAGGGAGAGAGTTAAAAACACCAATCTACCTCCTGCACATCCCCCACTGGGGATATGCCCACAACCAAGGTACATGCCCTTAACTGGAATCAAACCCGGGACTGTTCAGTCCACAGACCGACGCTCTATCCACTGAGCCAAACCGGTGAGGGCTGGTGCAGTTTAGCCATCAGAAGTAGAAAATGATTTGGGAAACAAATCATTCTTAATTTGAAAAACTGGAACAGTACAGTTCTATTTCTCATACACTCTGCCAGGAGCCCGCATTGCAAAATGAAGAATTGTCATGTGTAGGTGGACACTTTTTGTTACTATTTGTGTATTTTCAATGAAGAGATTTGTATTTTAGACATTGTTTTCTATCCTCCCCTGCAGTTTCTGCCTGTATCCCGTTTCTCTGCACTGGGAGACCTTGGCTCAGCTCTTTAGAACTGTCTTGAATTCCTCTCTGGTTTGAACTAGTGCAAGAACGGCCTGCCTGACCAGTTCCATTCCCTCTCTGGGCTAATTATTTGAGTACTCTTTTGAGTAAACACCAGAAGGTGAGAACCCAAAAGCAAAGTCAGCCTGGGGCTGCCAACCACCTCCCCTTTGACTAGGGGTGAATTGTCCGTGGGTCAAAGGAATGGGTAAGAAAGGGGATACTTGCTGGGAGGAAGGCAGCAAGATGAATCAGATATGGCCTGAGCCCCTTAGGAGGCCAGAGCTGGCCAGGTCTGACTTAGAGCATTTCTGTAGCTCTGGCGTTCATGGAGCAAAGCCTGTGCAAACTGTGTTTGCTCTCTGTCTTCCATGACAGGCCATGCAGATACTCAAAACAGAATGAAAAAGGCATCTATCTGGTACAAATAACACAGAGGCCTTGGCTGCCTTCGCCTTCCACGTGCTCACCCAGTTGGTTCGGTGGATAACAAGTATGCCAGGCACTGGCCCTGGGCATGGAAAGCGGTTCTGGGTGGTGTTTGTGGTCCTGATGACCGCCATCCCATGGGAGTGGTGCATGTCAAATGTGTGGTCTCCAAACAATTTTCTGAGCATGAAATTTATGCTGAGTCTAGTGCGTGGATTGGTTACACACACACATACACACACATACACACACACACACACACACACACACACACACACACACATCGGTACTGGGATGGACTCCCCAACATCTTCATGTGGTGGTGAATTGCTGCTGGGGAGGCAGGTTGCGACCAAGTGATTGCTTCTGGCTGCCTTTTTCTCCTCCAAGGGATGGCTTTCTTCCCTTCTATTCTTTCCCCCTTTTTGCTCCACATAAATATTTTCCCTGCCCACCCCTTGAAAGATGGAGCTACTGAGCAAAGAAAGGGGATTGTCCACTGGTTGTTGCTCACTTTGGAAGATACAGTGGAGAGAGAAAGCCTTACGAGTTCAGGTGTCTCATCTACAGGATGATGGACACTCTGATGATATTTCTGTTTCTTCTCATCCTCCCGCCTCCCTCCCCCACTTCCTCCCAGATTTGCTGTATATTTTAGCATTTCAGCAACTACTCAGAGACTCCCTGGCTGAATCAAC